GCCTGAGGCAGGAGGACCCCTAGGGCAGATGGGGATGAAGGTTAGAGCCGGATCCACAGGCAGCCTCCCTGCCTCCTCTCCGCTTGATTCACCCATCACGTACGGAGTAACTCCTGTATACCTGGCCCCGGGCAGTGGACCGTGCAGTGAAGTGGAAAAAATGAAACATAAGGGCCACTGTCTTTTTATCTTTGAGCAATGACTGTGTGCCAGGTCCAGAAGAGGACCCGGCAGCAACTTGCAGCAACCAAGTGATTATCTGCCTCCTGTTGCAAAAAAGGAAACCGATATTCAGAGAGGTTGAGTGACTTGCCCAAGGTCACACAGCGGGTAAGAAGCAGCGAAGCCAGAATTAGAAGCCAGAGGGGTCTGTCCTGAGCGCCTTGCTTTTCCCCCCACCTCCATCACACTGTTCCGTGCAGTCTGCTCTGGAGCCAGAGAGTAGAGAGGAAGGGACGGAGGGACATGAAGAAGGAGGGAGGGGGGGAAAGCGGAAGAAGGAGAAGCCGAGGCAGAGAAAGGCGGGTAAGAGACTGTTGAGAGCTGAAGGCTGGAGCCAGAGGAGGCACCGGAGGCCCGAGGCGGGCCATGTGTGCGCTTGGCAGCGGATGACAGGGCCCAAGTGCTCCTTCCCAGTAGGCCCAGCCCCTGTGGGGCCACTGCTCAGAGCCTCGAGGTTCTGATCAGATTACTTGCACACTTCAGGCCTGGATTGCAGGGCCTGGGGAACCACAAGTCGGGGAGGGGGTGGCACGAGGGTCTTGGCACGGGGTGACTGTGACAGCTCCGCAGCCCCGCCCCTGCTGGGCTGCAGCTGAGGCTGACAGGGCCCTGAGGCCAGCAAGCCCAGCTGTGCAGCGTCGCCAGGCCTCGGAGGCCAGACGTCTGGCCTCGAGGCCTCCCTGGACACGCTGCCGATCTGCCAGACACGGTCCCTGAGCTCCACCCATGCCCCACGGGACTCCCGGCCCCTTTCAGCAAAAGCAGCTAGGGAGGGCAGGGCTGGGGCGTGGGCAAGGTGGCTTGTCAATCTCAGAGGGGGACCTGGTGAGGTGGAGCCAGGGCCCCGGTTTGGGACCGGGTCTGTTGCCATGGCGACGGCTCAGGCAGGGTCTGGAGCCAGCATCACGGCGTTCCCCAGTGACAGCTTCAGTGGTCCATGGGGACTGAACTCGTGATCCTGCCTGGCCGGTGAATTCGCTTTTCCTTAGGAAACTATTCACTGTGCTCACTCACGGCGTCCCCCTGCGGCCCCGGCGCCTCCTAAGACAGCCCGTGTCAGACGGCCAGAGCCCCACCCAAGCTCGGCTGCCCAGTGGCTGAGGACGCTGACCTCACGCCGTCCTATCAGTGTGGGGACGGCTGCAGTTGTGCTGGGAGCTGCGCCTCCTGAATGCTCGCTGTGGCAGCCCGGCCTGCCCTCCCCAAAGCTCTGGCCTCTACCCAGTGGCTCGGCTCCGGGCAAGACTGGGCTGCCTGGTGAGAGGCACTCAGACCCAGTGTCTCCCACCCCAGGCCCCTCCCGGACTCCAGGGAGAACCAGGTAACACAGCGGGAACCATCATACTCCAAGGACTGGAGGCAGGGCGCAGGGGCCTGTCATCCTAGCACTTCGGGAGGCCAAGGCAGGAGGGCAGCTTGAGCCCAGGAGTTCAAGACCAGCCTGGGCAACATACTGAGACCCCCGTCTTTACAAAAAAATAAATTAGCCAGGCATGGTGGTGCATGCCGGTAGTCCCAGCTATTTGGGAGGCTGAGGCAGGAGAATAGCTTGAACCCAGGAGGCGGAGATCACAGAGCCGAGATCTCGCCACTACACTCCAGCCTGGGCCACAGAGAGAGACTCCATCTCAAAAATAAAGGACTGGCCTGAGCTTGAATCCAGGCTCCATCTCTCTCCAGCTGTGTGGCCCCAGGCATGTCCCTTAACCTCTCTGAGCCTGATTTCATGTCTGTTAAAATGATAGTCTCCAGACGCAGTGGCTCACACCTGTAATCCCAGCACTTTGGGAGGCCGAGGCAGGCAGATCACTTGAGGTCAGGAGTTCGAGACGAGCCTGCCCAACATGGTGAAACCCCGTCTCTACTAAAATACAGAAATTAGCTGGGCGTGGTGGGACATGCCCGTAATCCCAGCTACTCAGGAGGCTGAGGCAGGAGAATCACTTGAACCTGGGAGGTGGAGCTTGCAGTGAGCTGAGATTGTGCCACTGCACTCCAGCATGGGGGACAGGGCAAGACTCTGTCTCAGTCTCAAAAAAAAAAAAAAAAAAACCATGTTAGTAAGCTCTGCCCTTCCAACTTCACAGGCCCACTTCAAAGAGCAAGAATAAGAACACACTTTGTAAATAGAAATCGTCCTGGAGACAGGCAGTGTCCTTACCGCCGTCAGCGTCATTCTTGTTTCCATTGAAAGTAACGGCAAAACCACAGTTACCCTTGCAGTGACCTGATCATTCTGGCTCCTGGAGAACTAACTCTACCTGCTTCCTTTCAGGGGTCCCTGGGGCCATTCCTGGTGGAGTTCCTGGAGGAGTCTATTATCCAGGTAATGTACATGAAACTTCCACACACCCAAGTCGTGCAGATGATGATGATGTCCATACTAGATGCACATTTTCACATCCTAGAAGGTAGGCACATTGACACGCCTACCAGAAGTGATGCCCACTTAAAAATGCAATTAAGAAGACACTGATTTACATGGGCCGGGCGCAGTGGCTCACGCAGGTAATCCCAGCACTTTGGGAGGCTGAGGCGGGCGGATCACGAGGTCAAGAGATCGAGACCATCCTGGTCAACATGGTGAAACCCCGTCTCTACTAAAAGTACAAAAAATTAGCTGGGCATGGTGGCGCGTGCCCGTAATCCCAGCTACTCAGGAGGCTGAGGCAGGAGAATTGCCTGAACCCAGGAGGCAGAGGTTGCGGTGAGCCGAGATCCCGCCATTGCACTCCAGCCT